TCTTTGGAAATTATTGTGCAAGAGTTGGATCCTTGGAGCTGCTGTTCTTCTTGCAACTGTGAGAGAACATCTGAATGAAAAAGCAACACTCTGAGAACTACAGAGAAGAAATGTGGAAAGAGCTTGATGTCTTTGTTCTGTTGGTCAATCTGCCCTGGTACCTCCCTACCTCTTGAGTGGTGTAGAGCAAAGAGCAATTCATGTGAAGTACACACAATGAGATGTATTGCACCCAAAATAGCTTTATGGAGCAATATGCCTTTATGATTTAATAGTGAAAATATACATGATTGATACTAACTAGACTTACTGTGGTGACTATTTCACCATAGGTACATATTCTTTAAAAATAGTGAAAATATACAAATATGAGATTGTGGCAAGCAAATTTTTCTCCCAGCTATATTGAGATATAAATGTTGTACAACTTTGTAAGTTTAAGGTGTAGGATACTTTGATACACCTATTTAATACATTCATTATGAAATTATTGTGACAATCATTTTTTTACCTCCATATGTCACATAATTACCATTTCTTTTATGTGGTGAGAACATTTAAGATTTACTCTCAAAGTAACTGTCAAGTATGCATTATAGTATCTTTGACCTTAATCACCATGCTATACACTAGATCACTAGAACTTATTCATCTTATAGCTAGAAGTTTGTACCCTTTGACCAACATCTCCCCATTTCCCTTACCCCACAGCCCCTGGTAACCACTGTTCTAGTCTTTATTTCTATGAATTTGGCTTTTTTAGACTCCACATACAAGTGATATCCTACAGTATTTGTCTTTATCTTTCAGAATTAATTTATCTGCTTTATTTCACTTAGTGTAATGCCAGCAAAAATTTTTTAAGGTATACATCTCAGTTGAGTTAAAAGACTGTGTGTGTCCAATTTCTCTCTCAGTTTTTCAGAAATGTACAAGAATTTACATTTCTGGGAAAAGTTAAACTGAGGAGATGCTAATGATGTGCCTGTGGAACTGGAGGTGGTTTGGAAGTAAACCTAGCAGAAACCTGAAACCTGTGATGGTGAGAATGGCAACTCTCTTGAACTCAAGAAAGAATGAGGTGCAAATAGGCAGTAAAAGGTATTTTTCCCCCCTAAACCTAAATAGAAAGGTTTCTTATTACAGCAGATTACTGCACATACACACAAGCATGCACAGAAAAGCCACCCACCAGTTCATAAAACAAAAGCCAATTGCAGTGTGGAAAGTACAAACTGCAGAAAACTAGAAGTCAAGAGAAGAGAATCTACTGGTTTACATGGGAGGAAGAACCCTTTACCCCGAGCAGGGCTACTTGGTGAAGGCCGCCACCACTGCCCACAGCACCTCGTTGGTGCCAGCTTTCAGACACTCCACTTTGGGATCCAGGTCGAGGAGCTGCCGCACTCTCTTGGTGGCCAAATCATACTGCTCATCCAGAAGGGGAGTGAAAGCATTCTCCAGAACATCCAAGGTGTGGGCCAGGTAGATGAAGGCCAACAGGTGCTTGTCCACGTGGTGCAGGCCATTCACCCACTTGTCAAGAACAGCTTCCTGCACCTTCTTGATGAGGTGCTGTTTGACCCTATTGGTGAGGGGATGCATCGTCATGTCAAAAAGTAGGAAGTTCTGTTTCTCTGTTGTCAGTACACCCCTTTTCACCAGGTTTTTAGCTAATTGTTCTTGCATGCTTCTTAACTGATCATGCAATTATAAGAGATTCTTCCACTCACTTACATAAAGCTTTTAAATGGTTGAGAAGAATTTCAGCTGCTGTTTTCTTTGTATTCTTAATATGAATAGCAAATGCATTCATCATAGCTGATGTTTCTAGAGAAGTCAGACTGCTTAAAATATTCCATGACAAAGTGGACTCCCAGAATGTGTACTTCTTGTGGGTCAGGAATCATATTTTACTACTATCTGTAGCCCCAGCACCAGGTAAATTCATAGAATATAGTCCTTGTTTAGTAAATATTTGTAAAAGAGAATAAACTATTCTAATACATGTATTAGAATAGATTGCTGATGGTTTTAGTATGAGGTAGAAATGAGCCAAATTGTAAATAATTTCTTGCATATTTCTATTGGCATAAAAATGTCAATAAATAACCAAAGCATAAATAAGAGGTTTATTTATTTCTTAATAAACTTTTAAAAAGCATAATTGTAGAAAAGTTGTGAGGATAGTAGAGAGTTCCCATATGGCCCACATCCAGTTTGCCCCATACCCCAACCAATTTCCCCACTAGTGTAGTGCATTTGTCACAGTTAATGAACTAATATTGATACATTAGTCCACACACTTCTTAGATTTCCTTAGTTTTTGCCTCATGCTCTTTTTCTGTTCCAAGATCCTGTCCAGGCCAGCACATTACATTTATTCGTTATGTTTTCACAGGCTCTTGCTGGGTGTGACAGTTCTTCAGACTTTCCTTGTGTTTGATGACTTGGACAATTTTAAGAAGTACCAGTCAGGTCTTTACTTTGTCTCTCTGTTGGGATTTGTCTGAGTTTTTCTCATGATTAAACTGGGATTATGGGTTTTTTGAAGGGAGACGACAAAGCTAATGTGCCACTCTCCTCACATCATATCCAAGGTGCACACTATCAACATGACTTCTCACTGCTGATGTTTACCTTGATCACCTGGCTGAGGTCATGTATGTCAGGTTTCTCCACTATAAAGCTGTTCCTCCCCACTTCTTTCCATTCTACTCCTAGAAGCAAGTTTACCATATGTGGTGCACATTTAAGTACTTCCTTGAGGGTGAGGTATTTACATAAATTATTTGGAACTGAAAGTTTTATTTTCATTAAAGAATTCAATTGAGATTCTTATTAAAGGTGGCTGGTTGCATAAACACTCTATTCCCAGTGAAAATGAGGGCAAAAGAATTTGTATAGAAACACAAACCCATAATGAGAAAAGGAAAGAAAACAAAAGCAGTAAAACTTTAGACATTGCAAAATAGATGGGAAAGTAGGAGATGGATTAATGGATTCAAGAATGTGAATCCTAAACTTGGCAGTGGACAAAGCAGAGAGGCAACCGACTTTACCATGCAGAACTCCAAGGCTCAGAAATTGGCACCAGATAGCTGTGGCAATGGGGGAGGAGGAACAGATCATGGTAGGACTAAAAATAGATTGTTTGAAAGTCTTTTTGAAAACATCTTCAGATCTCCTCCTCTACTCTATGAGCCATCGCAGTAGAGGAGAATAAAACAGCAGGTTTCCGGACTTGGGGGATCAGGCATAGGTAAAGGAGGCAGGGCTCTACCACTGAAAACCGGGATCAAGTAAAACTTTATGTCCTACTATCTGTGACATCTCAGCCTTCTCCTTCCTTTTGATTCCTGGTACACTGGAAGCTAGGACTAAAGCCTCCAGTCAGACATTAGAAGAGTCTTCTCTGGAAAATTCAACCAACCCAAGAAAAGGATGAAAAACACTGACATGGGGGTTAACCCAAAGAATTACAGTGAAGCCCCCACCTCACCCTTCCCACCATGCACATGTACAGCTTCCAAATAACTTTTTTGGACTCCCTTTCTAAATAACAGACTGCCAGAGTGTCATACATTTGGAAAAATCCTCTAATGTGAAACACAGGGTTCAAAATGAAAAATTTAAATAATAAAAAGATGTTTATAACTACCCCAAAGTGGAAACAACCCAAATATGTAGTCCATGGGTGAAGGGCAAAGCAAGATGTGGCTTATCCATGTGGCAGAACATTCTCCAACAAAGAAAAGGAGTGAGCTTCCAATGCATACTGCCATGAGGACAGCCTATACTGTACTGTTCTATACACATGAAATGTCTAGAAAAGGCAAATCTGGGACTAGGGGACTAGGGTTGGGAATGGAAAGGAACTGCAAATGGGCACAAGCACTCTTTTTTGGGTAGTGGAAATGTTCTAAAACTGGTTTGTAGTGATGGTTGAATGATTCAATAAATACAGTAAACATCAGTAAAGTAGATACTTAAAATGGGTGGATTTAATGACAAATAAACTATACCCCAGTAAATCTGTTTCAAGAAAAAAAGGAACTGAGAAAACTGAAACTACAGAGAGAGAAGAAAAATGAAAAAAAGTCATTATGGTTCTCAAAGAAATAAGAGTATATATCATATCCATAACACAGATATAAGATAGTAGTTTTAGGAAGAAGAATATTTGAGAACCACAATAGCAATACTAGGGAAATAAAAATTGGATGGCAGAAATGAAAACCTCAGTAAAAGCATGCAGGATACAGTTAGGGAATCCAAAATGTAGAACAAAATGGTGAATAATTGGACAATAATAGAGAAAACCTACCAAATGAGATGATTGATCCAGAAGGACTTACGCTAAGTGAGAGGAGATCCAGAAACAGAGATGGTGAAGAACGGCAGAGAAAAGTATTAACAAAGTAAGAAAATTTGCCTCAGTTGAAAAACATGAGCCTCTTCTCAAAAAGGCCCTTTGGATATACCCCGGTGAATAAAAGAAAAAAACAAAAACAAACAAACAAAAAACACAAAAAAAACAACAAACAATAAAACAACAAGAAAGGACTCATAAACTTTCAAACACTGGACATAAACAAAGGAGTCTAAGGGCTTCGGGTGGTGGGAGAAGGCAGAAGGGGGCATTGATACAGGTAATGAGCGGGGAATTGTGGGCATTGGGCCTCGAATAGGAGGCAGCAGATAATGGAGCTAGACCTTCAAATTTACTTTTAAATAATTTTTGACCAAAAAATTATACATTTAGCCAAACTCTCCATCAGGTAAGAGAGTAGAAAAAAGACAATTTAGACAAGGAGAGCCTCAAAAAATATAATTCCCGATTACCTTTCTCAGGCTGCTATTTAAGGCTGTGCCCAAGTGTGGACATATGCACTAGCGAGTTTGCATGCATACAGACACTCGCACTTTTCACACAAAAGTGCTCAACTTGGAAGGATATTGAAATATTGGAATAGGTGGGATTGAGGTAAACAGGATCCAATAGAGGCAAAAAGAATTCCTAGGGTGATGGCAAAGGGAAGTATGATGAAGCAGAGCAACAGGCCACAGTGGAACTGTCCAATTTAGAAGAGGAGGGCAGGCGCAGGCACCAGGAGGGCTCTCTGGGACTGAAGGGAGGGCTGTGGTGGTGAGTATATAATTGCTCAATTATCTAACATGCTTTGATTAAAATTTTATTGAGAGGCATTTTTAGAGCCATTGAGGATGTGGGGATACTTAGGTGTTCAAAGAAAATTAAGAAAATGTTTTAAAACGAGGCATTTATTAACTCCAGAAAAAAATAAGTTGTGCTAGAAAGGATATATAATATAGTTTAAAGAAAACTGCATACTACATATGCATAGTCAAAATTATAAAAACACTGAACGTAGATTTAACAGATACTTGTAACAGTTTTATTGAGAGGTTATGCAAGGTTAAGAGGTGATTTAAATGAGCTAAAATCCTTATTATGTGTAATTGGAAATCAATAGGTAAGTCTATTCAAATGACTCAAGGGATAGAGGTATATATATATATTATTTAGAAATAATAAGTAAAATCAGAGAAAATAGCTAAAAAATTGAAATTGGTTACTTTGTGGATGATGTGGTAGGAAGATGAAGAGAAGGAATTGATGTTTTGTAAAGATTTTAACATTATTTGATCTTTTATACTATCCAAATATAGCATGTTGATATAAAAATTGATTTTAAAATGATAGTTATTATCTATTTAATTAAAAAAGTATAGCTAAGATTATTCAATATTGAGAAGTAGAAAATTTTATAATGCTAATACTCAATTTACCTTAAATTTTATTTAATCATATGAATTAATACCGAAAGGAAGATAGGATTCTCAAAAGTCATTTTTCACTTCATGATTTGCTTTGTAAAACTGGAGTTTCAAAATTATGATACTTAATTCATGAAGTGTTGAGGATTTGATTTTTGCTTTCTGAGGTTTATTAATATTTAAAGTCCAAGTCTGTATCTGAAGCACAAAGAACTTTATCAGATTAGAGAGTGGCAAATCATTCCCTTTTGAAGAAAATCATAATTTTCATTCGAATTCCTTCTTTATCTTTTTTAAAGAGGAAAGACAGCATTGATTTTAGGCCTCACCATATTTACTATCCAAGAGTTTGCAAATGGAAATGATACCCAAATGATGAATGTAATACTGATTAGTTCTTTCTTCTGGGTTAAACATATGCTCACACATGCATGTTTAAATATTAAGAAGTCAACAATGATTATTTCACCCATCTGCAGTCTCAGCCCAATGATGGGACAGTCTCCCTCCTCCCTCCTTCACTTCTTTTCTCCTTCCAGAAGCATTTACTTTGTTCCCAGTACAGGTTGGGTGTTGAGAATATAAAAAAAGTTAAATACAATCTTTTCTACAGGGAAATTAGTCTGGTGTCATTTCACTCAACTAACTATAAAACAACATGAAAAGAGAGAGGAACAAAACACTGCAAGTATAGAGAGGAATCAGGATATGCAGGGTGTCTGGGGAGAAGGATATACTGAGAAAAACTCTCCAAAGAAGACACTTTCTCCCTTTGTCTTGGGGAGCTGGGCAAGCCAGGGTAGCTTGCGGAGGGCCCTGCTACAGAGGGCGGACGGAGCAGCACAGAGCATCCAAGAGGCAGGTACGGTGAAATGTGCCATGTACCCAGAAATTCTGCCTGTCAGAGT